AAGACATACCTCTGAGGATGAGACAGTTGGTGACGCGGCCGAACGGCGCGGACAGCTGGATCAGGTCGTGCTCGGAGGTGTCGAGCGGAATGTTGCGCACGTGGACGACGCGCGACTTGACGGCGGGGTTGGGCGGCGCGGGTCTGCTTTGGGCGCCGTTCTGGTGGTTGTTGTTGAGTTGGTCAGAGTTCGGGTCGTATTTGACTTTTTTGGTGATCTCGTTGTTGTTTTCGGTGATTGTGTTGTTGTTGTCTGCGATGGGAGACGACGTGTCGTCTATGGCTGTCGTCACTGGCGTCACAGCCGTCGTGTTGAGGACGCCGTTGACGTCGGTCTGAACCGTGGTTTCCATTCTTTGGTTCAACTCTTCGGAGGTTCTCTTCGCAGATCACGTGACGAGAAGTGACAGAAGACAAGAGTTTCGGGATTTCGTGACAGAAGAGGAATTGACAGAAGAAGTGGTGAAACGAGAAGACGAGAGAAGAGAAGAGAAAACAAACGGAAAAGAAATAAGTTTTCGTTAAAACCAAACAAAAGTTCAAAAATCATAAAAATTAACAAAAAATGAGTAAAAATTGTTATAAAAAGAGATTTCGCGACAAAAATGAGTGAAAATTGTGTAAAATTGTAAATAAAAGCGCTTTTCTGTGGAAAGAGAGAGAAAAGCGAAACAAAAGATTGGAAACAAAGAAACGAACGAAAGGTGTGTCCAAAAGGAGACAAATGTCAGAAAAGCATTGCAGAGAAGGGAGAGTCACGTGATGTGGAGTTCACTTACTTTTGTCATTATTTCTCGTGAACTGAGAATCGATTCAAAATCAAAACAATTCAAACTTCTCTTTGATTTCGAAACTAATTTCGATTTTTGTCCGAATTTTCGCTTTCTTTCGCTTTAAACACGATTTTCACTGATTTTCGAAAACATTTTCGGTTTTAATTCAAAATTCAATTTTTTATTCACTTTTCTGTCAATCGTTTTCACAGCCATTGAAACGCATGCGCAGAGAGAGGGAGGGCTCAGCGCGGGTGGCGGAGACAGCAATTACGTCAATAATCGCGTGAATTCCGACGTTATTTGCAATCGAATCGAGAATTCGCGAAAAATTAAACCATTTTTCGGAAAAACAACTCTTTTTTCACACATTTTCCGTAAAATCCATGAAAAATAAAGAGATTTTTATCGACGAAAAAGTGATTCAAAAAATTGTTTACATTTTTGTTCCCAAAATAGACATTGAGTTCAGAACGCATGCGCAGAGGAGTCGCGAAGAAAACTTCAGATTTGGTGCAAAAATGTCTGAAAAGAAACGAATTAACAGTTCTTCGCGCGAATCCACTTCCGGTCAGTCTTCGGCCAACGAATGGATCGAAATCCTCGAACCGAAGACCAAAGTCCAGATGTTCGCCAATTTGATCACGTGAGTAGAGCGAGTGTTCTCATTGGTCGGCAGACACCGCCCATTCCCTCCACTCATCCCTTCTGTTGCTCTCTTCCTCAGCGGTGAGTGTCGTTGGGATGAACCTCGAGGTCAAGGAGTGGTCATCTCTCGCGCCACGAATCCATCGCTCACTCAATGGTGGGAACTATACGTAAGTGTCGTTTGTCGTCACCTGTCGTCTCAATTGTCGTCTCTTTAGGACACAAATAGTCAGCGCTTTTACTACTATTGCGCCAAAGACTCGAAGACGGTGTGGAAGCGGCCGCAGACGCCCGACGCCATTGTGGTTCCGTTGGCCAAACTACAGATTCTCAAACAGAACACCTGTTCGTCCCATTCGTCGGTCGACAGCACGGCGTCGACGACACGCGCGACGACGGGTGACGTCCGCGACGACAGACTCACGACAGAAGTGTCGACACAAACGGAACCGCAATTGTGTTCGCGATCCACACAAACGCAGACAACAATGTCTTCGCCGACAAACGACTACTTATTCCAGAATTCGTTTCGAAACCCGAGTCTTAAGTGAGTTTCCGAGCGATTAATGTCCACTCAATGACCACATTATCCGTTGCAGACATTATCTCATATCTGAGGCGCGATTAACGCACGCCATGAGAATCGGCGACACGACTGCCGGCGGCCAAGAGATGGACTTCGACTCGAATGACGAGGACTTCGACGACGTGTTGGCGGACGACGAGTCGGACCTGTCGTGTGACGCCGACGACGAGTACGACTGCGACTACAGCGACGACGACGACGTCTCCGAAGACGACGGCAACGACAGAGTGGACGCCAGAGTTGGTCGTCGACCCGATCGACGCGTTGTCGTCGACGACGACGACTACTACGACAGTGTCGACGACGAAGACGTCAGACGCCGTTACGACAGCAGCCGGTCGTCCGTCAAACAGAGGCCACAGATTAACAGTCTGTTCGCCACGCCTTCAGTGCCAATCGCCACGAGTCCGACGGGCAGTGCGTCGGGCGGTGGCGGCGGTGACCAGAAACTGGTGACTCCGCCGACCAAAAGTCATTCATTAACTCAAATCTCATCGAATTTAAACCGAAATTGTGTTCAAAACAACTCGAATACAAGTAATTCGAGTAAACGCTTGACGACAACGACGTCTTTGACGACACCGTCGCCGACGACACCAACGACCACAACAGCGACCAAAATAATGTCAGCGAACGCGCAGACATTGACTCTTCAAACGCGACCACAAACACCGCCAAAAAGTCGTCAAATTAGTCACACTTTGTCTTTAATGCCGACAACAAAGACAACGGCAGAGAAGACGAAGAATGTCGAAGACAACAGTTCCACACATCTATCGATCGAGTCGTTCGCAAAAGAGAATATCGAAAGACATCGAAAACGAGGAATTTTTATCGGGAAAAAGGTTTCGTTGAAAGCAATGCTCGAGTGGTCGAAGAAATCGATCAAAAAACCAATGATTTCTTCAATAAGTGATCAAAAATTGCGAAACGAATCGAAACTTATGTTTAAATTCGTGCAAAAATTTATGCGCGATCTTCAGGCGAACGACACGTCGACGTCAGCGACGACAACAGCGACGACCGCAGCGCACGACAGGACGACGTCGTTGGCGACGGCCGACGACACCGACATAGCGTTGCATTTGTTGACGACAGCCACTCAACAGCCGATTCTTCGCGACGAACTGTTGGTTCAAATCGCGAGACAAACGACGGGAAACCCGTCGCAGGAGTCGGAGCTGAGGGGTCTGCGGCTGATGTGCGCGTGTTTCTGGTATTTCCCGCCGTCGCACAAACTGGCGCCACATATGAACGCCTTCCTGTCGTCGCACGCGAACCCTTACGCCGCAGAAGTGGTGCGAAGAAAGTTCGAACAACAGTTGCGACGATCGCAACAATCGCACGTCGTTTACGTCCGCAAACCGCACGACAGGCACGAAGTGTCACGTGTCCTGCGGTGCGTTGACAACGGCTTTGTCGGCGTTTTTGGCGAAACCCTCGACGACGCGCTCGTCGACAGACGTCTCATTCCGTGGTAAGTGTCGTCTTTCGTGTCGTCTCTATTGCCGTCATTGACGACACCTGTCGTCTCTCTTTAGGCCAATCGTGTCGCTGACGGAAGCGCTGCTCAGGTGTCGCGGGACCGACGAGAACGGCGATTGTTGCGAACGCGAGGGAGTGTTCCGCTGCGTCGGCGACTTGGATGACGTCATGCGCCTCAAGATCAAGAGTAAGTCTGAAATCACGTGACTCCTGTCTAACCCCCGATTAGTCGACACAGTGATCACGCGCGCGGACGTGGGCGACTCGTTGCACGCGCTGGAAGTGAACCCGGCGGACATCCACGTGATCGCCTCCGCGCTCAAACTCTACTTCCGCGAACTGAAGCGCCCTCTCGTGCCGCACGACGTCTACTGGGAGGCGCTCGACTCCGCCCACGACCCGCAGCGCGCGCAGCGATTGGTGGAGCGCTTGCCGCCGACCAACCGCTTCGCGCTCTCCTATCTGATTCGCTTCCTCCAAGTGTTCTCTGCGCCCGAACACGTGATCCACACGAAGATGGACGACGCGAACCTGTCGATGGTGTGGGCGCCCAACATCCTGCGCTCCGAAGGGGGCGTGGCGCTCGCCGACGCCTCCCTCTCCAACATCTTCGAGCGCACGCGCGCCGAGATGTCTTTCGTGCGCACTTTGATCCAGAATCTGGACACGGGGTTCATGTCTGGCGTCCAGTGACGTCACACTCAAGTGCCAAACCTCTAGTCCAATAATAAAGTCATTTTTGTGAGATTTTATTGAATAAATAGTTCAACGAGACGTCGCTGTCGTCGCGGCGGTCGTCGCCGACGTCTTGCTGTCGTCCGAGAAGTGCTTGAGGAGAATGTTGCGACAGTTGGCCAACAGGTGGTCGCACTCCACCGAAGAGAGTCCGGTTTCGCGCAAATGGTGGCGCAGAGAGTGACACAACTGTCGGGAGAATCACGTGAGACAATGGCGGAACAATTGGCACAAACCTTCTCCAAGTGGTTGATGTTGAGCCCGCGGAAGCGCTTGATGCGATTGGTCATTTGGACGCGGGAGGCGTGGCCCTTGATCTTCGCGCACAAGTCGTGCAGTTTGGTCAGAACCGAAAACAGCAGTTTCTCTCTGCGCACCAGCAGAGGGCGCAACTCCATCGGCACGCAGTATTCGCTCTGCGAGAGAGTAAGTGGGGTGAGAGGGCGGCGCAGCAATACCCAGCATACCTTCTCGTTCTGGCGGTCGGACACCCAGAGGCACTTGAACTTGGAGACGAGCGCCGTCTGGCGGTTCTGCTCGCATGACGTCATGTAGGGCGAGAGGATGAACGCGACGAAGGGTTGGTTCGACTCGCGGGAGAAGAGCGTCTGGAACGCCGTCTGCGTCTCCAGATCCCGGAGCGAGGGGTTGGGCACGAAGGTGGGGTGCGAGTGGTACCAGCCCACGCATGCGTACGACTTCTGCTCCAACCGCTCCTTCGCGATGGCCTGAGACACTATAGACAATGCCATTAGAGGCTGACGTCACAGTCACGTGACACTCACCCGGCTCCATGTCGCACTGGAGGTCGTGGTCGTCGAGAGAGGCGCAAGGTTCGGCCGTGAGAATGTGGAGTTCGCGACTCAGCGCGCAGTACGTGCCGCCCAGCAGACCGATCACTTCCGTGCGCACGCAATGCGCGTGGATGTCGATTATGGCCAGCGCTTCCATCGACAGCCGGACGGCGAACGGCGGCTGAAGAGCAAATAGGCGTTAATGTGGGAATTGATGGTCACGTGACACAAACCTGTTCGTTCGTCGCGTCGAACGTCTCCAAGGGAACCAGTTTGAAGGGATTGGGGCGCGTGCGCGGCGTCTTCGGCGGGGAGGGGCCGTCGGCGGGGGCGGAGGGCGTGGCCGCGGCGGCGGTGGGCGGGGCTTTGGCCTTGAAGTGGCGTTTCATTGGTTTGGATTTGATTTCTCGCTTTGAATACAAATTAATCGCTTTGTGGCTCTCGAGGAACTTCTGCACGCGAGAGAAGGCCGTCACGTTGCCTGCGATGAGGTCAGAGTTAGTGGTCAAAGGTCAGAGGTCACTGCAATGCTCACCCAGGTGCAGAGAGGACACTTTGCGCAACATCTCGTGATAGCCGAAGCGTCGCGGTTTCGTTTGCTTCCAATGCCGCAGAAAGTGGTTTCGGATCTCGCGATAACTGTCCGCCGACTTCCCCTTCGTCTGGCCGTCGAAGAACTCGCGCATCACTTCGCGCTCGTATTCCGAGATCTGATCCATGGATATCGTCAGCCAATCGCCGCTCGCGAGACACAACCGGAACGACAACTCGTCGGCGTCGCCCTCCACGACACCTGTCGTCGTTTCGGCGATCACGTGGTCCGCAGTCTCGGGAATGTCGTCACAACCGCTCGTCTGAGAAGAGCTGTTGGGTGTGGACGCGGCCAACGACTCGGCGACACTCAGAGCTGTCGTCCCCAACGACAGGCAGTCGTCCAGCGCTGTCGTCAGCGCTGTCTTCGCGCAGATGTGGCCGCCGTTGACAATGCCGTTGACAATGGGCGCCGCCATCGCCGGAGCGCTCGACTCGCGTGACGTCATCACCGAAGAGCCTGAAAATGCGGTCAATAAGCGGTAAAACACGGCATTCGGAGATACGGACCGAAATCGACGACAAGTGGAACCGTTTGCTCGCATTCGGCGTCCGATTCGATGCCGGAATCGGTGTTGCCGTTCATTCTGGCCATTCAGAGGTCGCGCCGACGGCTGAGAAAGAGAGACGAGTTTTGCGCAGAAAATGTCCGCAAAATCGCTATTATTTGCGACAATAAACACAACAAACAGTCAGTCGTTGTCGTCGTTGGCGTCGCGTTTGTCGTCAAACAAAGTGTCGTCTCTTTTGTCGCCTTTTTTTCGTTACATTTTTGCCGAAAACTATTTATTCGTAAAATTGTTTTCAAAACAAAAGTTTTGTTTTTAAACACAATTTTTTGATTTAAAATTTTTAATTCAATAATGAATTGAAATTCAGAGATAATGTGCGCGACTTTTGCCCCAAACTCTCCTATTGTGAATCGCATTCACTTTTGGGCCCTTTTGTCGCTATCATTAACACTATGTCTATGCTATGAATGCTTGCCATAAAAAAGCACAAATTATTCGCGCATTCATTCAATGCATTTTCGCTTCAATTGTAAATCTGTACACAAATGACGTCCAAAAACGTCGCGAAGAATTGGCGCGAGATTTGAATGCATTGTTTTAATTGTGATTAAATTTAACTAAAAATCAATGTTTTATTGAAAGAAAAATTTCGAAACTTTTGTCAAAAACTTTATTACAAATAAAAAGAATGACTTTTTGGCAAACATTTAACGCTTTCTTTGATTTCTTTCTTCTTTTCAATTGTTGTCTTCTTTTTGACGACAAATCTGACGACAATTAAAGCGAAAATCAGCGAAAATGCGATCAAAAACGCGATTAAAACCCAATTTTCGGTGTTTTTGAAACACTTTTGTCGAAAACAGGTTTCGATTTGACTTTCGTTTCGAATTCTGACGTAATTTATGAAAACTTCGGTGAAATTGTTTCGACAATAAATTTGTGTCCATTTCTTAAGACACGACCGAAAGTCACAACAATAGAGACGACGCGAAGACGACGCGTCGCGACCGACGAGACGCCAGTCACGTGACAACCGGTGTCTGCATAACAACTCTTTGGCGGCGAAAAGTGGCGAACAATCGGAAGGAATGGACGACAGAGAGGACGACGACATGACGACACCCGCTGTCGTCCCGAAGACGACAACTGAGACGACAAACACGACAACTGACGACATGTTTAATAATTTCAAGGCTTTCTAAACGAGAAAAACATTTTTATCTCTTTTTCAATCAATAAATACTTGAAAAAAACAATAGATTTTGTATTATTTAGGGAAACATGGAGTCGACGAGTTTCTGCGCCTCCACCGCCGCCACTCTGTCCTTCTCTGAGTCGGACGCGAAGAGCAACAACACTGCGTTCCACACGAAGTCTTTCGCGCCTTTGATTCCTTTCCAGATGTTCTGCAAAACGTTTGGTTTCGGTTTTATTGTTGTTTTTCTTCTCTTTTTTCGCTTTCTTTCTTCGATTTCTTCCGAATTCTCGTAATTTGTCAGAAATTTCCTCTCATTTTGAAATTGCATTTTTCGCGACATTTCTCTTCGCTTTAAATACAAAAAACTCAAATCCGAAACCAATTCCGCACTTAATTCCAACTCCTCTTCGGCCGACTCTTCGTGACCACAAATCGGCGGACATTTTGTCACCAAAAGCGAGACAACAATAGAAAGAGAGACAAAAAGCGATTTGAAAAGCATTAATAGAGCGGAAGATCACGTGATGTTTGAATTCAAATATGTTTTCGATTTTATTTAATTAGAAATCAATTAAAAAACAATTAAAAGAAACAAAAAGTCATTAAAAGTTTGCAAACGTTTGGAAAACAAATATTTTTGTCATTTTTGAGAACAAAATGAAATTATTTCTCAATTTTTGTCTAATTTTTTGTGTCTTTTCGGGATTTTCGGTGAAATTCGTGGAAAATGACGAAAATCTCGAGAAATATCGCGAATTAATGGTAAGAAAGGGTTTTTGTCTCGAAAAGCATTAAAACTCTTCTTTTGTTTCCAAAAGTTAAACGATTTTTGCAGAAATGAAGACTTTTTCGAAGCGAAAGACGTTTTGAAAGCAGTTTTCGTAAGAATTGTCGCAAAAAAATGATAAAAACTTAATTCATTTCTAATCGAAAGGAAATTCTGGAAATTGTGTCGAGATTTACGAAAATTTGATTACAAAATGATTTTTTGGCGAAAATTCTGCAAAAAAGCGAAAAAAGTGAAAAACATTTCCTTTTCTTGAATTGATTACAAAATTCATTAATAAATGAAATAATTTTTGAAACGAAAGCAAATCTCGTTCTTATCTTTAGTTATTATTGATTACGACTTTTAAACACTTTTAACGCGTTTTCATTCGATTTCCGCCAAAATTCGTATAAAAGTCGCGAAAATCTGTTGAAAAAATCATTCAATAATTCTTTGGAATTCTTCAGAGACTCAAAAAGTTTGGAAGAAATCCCAAAAGAATGCGTTTTATAGCCTTTTGTGCGCTTTTCGTGTCGGCGTTCGCGCTCTCAGGTATTTACGCGGCGAATGGAAGCCCAAAACGCCGTCCACTAACTCTCTCTCTCCCCGCAGCCGCCGTCTCGTCGCTGTTCCGCCCGCAACAGTCGGTGCGTCTGATTCCGGGCAACACTTATGTCTACGAATACTCGTCGCGACTGTTGTCCGGCATTCCCGCGCTGGACGCGCAGTTCGCGGGTCTCGAGATGGAGGCGCAGATCCTGCTGCAGGCGCAGGCCTCTGACATCGTGGTGATGAAGATGGCCGCGATCCAAGTGGGCAAACACAACGGCCACGTGGACAACAATGGCGACGCCGTCATCGACCACCAGTTGAACGCGCAGTACGAGCGCGAGCTGTCGAAACCCATCCGCTTCGTGCACTCGGAGGGAAAGGTGCGACAGTTCGAGGCGGACGCCTCAGAGCCCGAGTGGTCCATCAACATGAAGAAGGCCATCCTCTCTCTGCTCAACATCAACCTCGCGCCCAAGAAGATCATCAAGAGCGCGAACAACAATCACATCCAGCGCCCCGACCAACACCTCACCGTCTACCCGGTCTACGAGGACGGCATCGGCGGCATCTGTGAAACCGTCTACGAACTCACCAATCAGCCCGACCCGAAGAACCCGGAGCCCGAGCACGCCTTCGTGTTGAACGTGACGAAGACGCGCAACTACGACAACTGCCTGACGGAGCCCACCATCGTCAACGACAACTACGACGTCCGGGGCTGCCCCTGGGTGTGTCGCAAGGAGAAGAGCTTCGCCGCGGTGGCCGGCTACTACCCGACGCCCGACGCCGTGACCGACCCCTACCAGAGCGGCTGTCCGTGCGGGAAGGAGCCGCACGAGTCGCCAGTGGACGCCTACAACTTCGTCAAGTACAACATCTCGCTCCAGAACTCCGTGCCCACCATTGAGTCAATCTTCTCGGAGGGAAAGATCGCGTACAAGACCAATGGCGACGAACTGCTGATCATCACCCAACAGAACCTGACACTGATTGGCCAGGGCAAGGCCAGCGTGCACATTGCCGCCATCCCGCGCCCCGTCCGCCACCAGGAGCTGTCGTTCCGCATCCCGAAACCCCAACTGCCCGTCGGCTACAAAGTGCCGCTCGACATCCCCTACTACCACCTGTTCGGCGCCCCGAACATTGAGGAGTTGCAACAACTCGTTCCCGAGCTGCTGGACTCGCTCGCCTCCGACATCGTCTCGGGCGACATCTCTGCGACCAAAGACTCGATGCAGAAGTCGGTGCAAGTGGTCAACGCTCTCGCCGTTCTTCCCACCGAAACCCTTTACGCGCTGTTCGAACAGATCGCCCAAAACGGACACTCAGTGCGCGCCACTCCCAAAGAGCAGGTGCTGCGCAAGCTCTTCCTCGACTCCCTCCCGCTGGCCGGCTCCAACCAGGCCGCGCTCTTCATCAAGGACCTGATCCTGAAGGACAAAGTGACCACTTTCGAGGCGAAGGAGATGGTGGAGGCCGTGCCGCAGAACCTCTTCCTCATCGACACCGAGACCATGGACGCCTACCTCGAGCTCTTCCAATCGCCCAAAGTGCAACAGCGCCGCCACCTGGCGTCGAGCACCGGCATCGCGTTCGGAAAGATGATCAAAGAGGCGTGCGTGAAGCGCCAGAGCACTCCGGGCGACATTCCCGACCAGAACCAGTTCCCGCACTCCAAACGCAACCAACCGGCCATCGCCGTGATTGCCGGCGCCCAAAACCCGCAGCGCGTGACCATCAGCTCGCAGGTGAAGACCACTCTCTCGCAGCGCATGAAGAGAAGCGCGGAATGGGAACAGAGCTTCACTCAAGACGTGTGCTCCGAACAAGACATCGAGAAGTACGTGCAGATCATCGGCCGCCTTCTCGACCAGGCGAAGACCTTCCACCAGAAAGTCACCTTGATCGAGACTCTCGCCCACATGGCTGTGCCCCAAGTGCTGCCGATCCTCGAGCCCTACATCTCGGGCTCCATCTCGCCGGCCAAGTGCCCCGGCTACGTCACCGAGAAGAAGTGGATGGAAGCGGAGGAATGCCAGTTCTTGCGCCAGATCGTCATCTACTCGCTGAGCCACGTGACCGAGTACTACCCGAAGCAGGTGCTCCCTCTGGTGCTGCCGGTGTACGCCGACAACAGCGCCCCCTATGAGGTCAGGATCGCCGCCTTCACCACTCTGGTGTTCGCCGATCCCGAGAAGCAAGTGCTCGAGCGCATCGCGTCCGAGCTGTACCGAGAGAACTCGCGCCAGGTGCGCTCCTTCGTCTACTCGGCGCTCCAGACCATCGGCAACATCACTCTTCCCTGTTTCCAGAAGTCCTCGCAGAACGCCGCCTCGGCCTACGAGCACGCGCCCGACGCCGAGTACGGCTTCCAGTACTCCAAGATGATTGGCCAGAGCTTCTACGACCAGAAGAAGGACTTCGGTCTGTACGCCATCGGCGAGTGGGTGTCCAGCAACGTGTCGCAGGTGCCCCGAAGCGCCTACCTGTCCGTCGGCCAGTCGTCGGGCCCCTTCCAGGACGAGCTCCTGCAACTGGGCTTCAACGCCAAGGGAATGGAGTCTCTGTTGGAAAGAGCGCTCGAACCGAACGGTCTGTTCGCCGACATGTTTGAGTCGATGCACGCGAAGAGCAAAGACAGGCGCGTGACGAAGAGAAACGCCGACTCCGCGCAACAGCTGTTGGAAGCGCTCAAATCGAAGCTCAATCTGGAGATGCGTTCGGACGACGAGCCGAAGGCCACCGTCTTCTTCAAACTGCTCGACAGAACCTCTTACTTCGCTTTGGACAAGCATTACATTCACCAACTCATCGACGGCATGGAGGACTCGCTGAAGGACATCGCGCAGGCGCTGCTCCAAGGACAACAGTACCACTACGT